TTGGGGTCGGGGGGTGGGGGGTGGGGAAAGGCTCATAAGAGTTTGCTTTGCAAGCAAGGAGACTTGATTTGATCTCCAGAGGTCATATAATACAAAGGTAGGCCTGGCAGTATGTACTTACACTCCCAGCCCTGAGGAGGAAGACACAGACAGATTCCTGGGGCTTTCTGACCAAGCCAGCCTAGCCTAATCTATGAACTTCAGGCCAGTGAGGGATCCCACCTCAAAGTAAGATGGATGAAGCCCAAACAACACTTGAGCTTGTCCTCCAGCCTCCACACATATGCACACACATTTGCATGCATATCAGCACATACATGCACCAACACACATGTGCACCCACACATATGTACAAGTACATAACACAAATATAAAAAAGAACACAAATCATAATCATGTGTTTTAATCTCTGCTTCATGGGAAGAATGTTTATTCAACCTGACCAGCGCTGCCCAGTTCAGAAATCAAATAGTAACAGATCCAAGAGGACATGGGCCAGACATCAGCACGTGAGAACAAAAGAAAATTAGAAAAACAGGGTGTTTCTTCCTTTCCAGAGTGGGGCTGGACAGCCCAAGGGGAAGTCATTGGGTAGAGGGGGGGTGGTGCCCATTGTGCTGAGTCTACTCATTTTTGTGACCTAAAAGGAGAGGGTAAATGGGACTAAAGCATGCAATCACTCCCAAAAAGGGAACTCATATGACCTTATGACCATATGACCTTACGCTGGGATTTGGCCTCTCCATTCCAAAAAGGATGGGCATTTTAGAGCCTGAATGTCCTCAAAATCAGAGGGCAGTGGCTTCGTGTTTGTAGAGGCGGGAGCTTTCAGCATGGCCAGGGTTCCAGAGGGCTGGTGATGCTCCCAGACATGAGGCATCCTCTTGTCCAATCAAGGTTTTTTGCTTTGTTTTTGTTTTTGTTTTTTTGAGACAGGATCTCTTACAGCACAGACTGGCCTCAGACACACTGTGTAGCCATAAATGATCTTGAATCTCTAATCCTCCTGCCTCTACCTCCCCAGTGCTGAGATTACCAAGCATGGGTCACCATGGCTGGCCTGAGTGAGATCTTCAGACCAGGAGGGAATGATCCTTTTGAGCTGGCAATGGCTGAGGAATAAATTGGGCAGGTCATCTGATAACCAATTTATTACATGCTTTGTAGTGAAAATCAGAGTGAACTGTGAAGAAAGGGGCATGTGGAGGGGAGGGGAGGGGAGGGGAGGGGAGAGCAGCCCAAAGGCTGCTTCGTCAGGAACTGAAGAACACATGACTATGTCCACAGAAGTCAGATTACAGAACTCCCAGAAGGGTTTTTCTGACTGAGAAGATGCCAGAAGAAAGGAGAGATGGGGGTGGAGCAGATCTCATGGTCAAGTGCACAGTGGGTAGGGTGTGGCCAGAGATCCACAAAGGCAAAAGAAAAGCCAGAGCTTATATGGTCCCTCCCGGATTTCTGGGTGATTGAAGACCCACCTAAGACTAGAGGCTGCCCTCACCTGGGAGCATCGGTGGCTACAGCTTGGGAAGAACTGCAGCATTCCTTGGTCTCAAGGTGTTCTGGAATTTGACCAAGAGCTGTTCAGTAGCACTGACTCAGTCGGATGGAGTCCATGCTGCCTGCCTTCTGTCTCAACTGTTCCTCTCTCAGTGGGCTTCAGGGATAAGTCAAGCAAGTGCTGGACTCTTCAGTCACTGGGGCCCAAGATGGTGGTGGGTATGTCTTAGACCCTTCCAGGCCCCGATCCCTGCCATTACCCTAGATGCTGGCAAGATGTGTTCCCATGTGTCACTTGTGGAACCAGCTGGGGTACTGGATGGAGGCTCTCCTGAGAAGAAGGTCCCAGCTTTGGAAAACTGGCTTCCTTAATTTGGGTTCCTCGAAGAGTGGGTGGGTCTGAAAAGCGCTTTGAGTCAAGTGTGTTGTTTATGGGAGAAGCTTTGCCAGGAGTCACCTCACAGTCAAACAGTACCCTCGAAGTATCTGAGAAACACAGTTACCTTAGACTGACTGAGATACTTGAAGAGACATGTGGCAGCCTTCATAAGCACCTCCTAGACAAGCTAGAAATTCCCTCCACCGGTCGGTCCTTCTGGTGTCAGTCTGTAAGGGACCACTACAGGTCATAGATCAATGTCCCAACATAGCCCTCTTCTGGGCTGTAAGGAGCACCATCTCTTCCTTTTGGAGAAGAGCTCTCATGTAGTAACACATGACAAAAGACAAAACGAAGTAGTGGGTCATTGACCAGGGATATAACTAATAAATGACCATCTGTTTATATGCACACCTTCAACCAGGGGTGGCTAGATGGTCCCTCAGGTAAAGGCACTTTCTGTGTCACCATGGTGACCTGGGTTTCATCCCTAGAAGTGTGTTGGGAGAATAGGAACTAAAACAGCTCCATCAAGATTAATGTGTGGCCAACCACAGTGATAAACACTTTTAATTCCAGCATGTAGGAAGCAGAGGCAGATAGAGCTCTGTGAATTCAAGGCTATCCTAGTCCTCACAGTCAGTTCCAAGCCACCCAGGGCTATGTAGACACAATCTGAATAAATGAATAAATAAATAAATAAATAAATAAATAAATAAATAAATAAATAAATAGATTAACATGTAAAGGAAGTGAGTTTCTTAGGAAGACTGAAAGCTCTACCTTATCCTGGCATCATATAAATGCATGAAATAAAACTCCCAAAATACAAACAGGAGGTGGAGGCTATAAAAGACCAGACACTGTGTGGCCAGATGCTGTTACGGGCTCTTTCCTCCTCTCATTAGCCCACTTCCATTCTTAAGAGTGACTGTTATATTTATTTATTTATTTATTTATTTATTTATTTATTTATTTATTTATATTATTGGGTTTTTTGTTTGTTTATTTGCTTTGTTAGTTTTATTTTTTGAGACAGGGTTTCTCTGTGTAGCTTTGCACCTTTCCTGGATCTCACTCTGTAGCCCAGGTTGGCCTCAAACTCACAGAGATCAGCCTGCCTCTGCCTCTCGAGTGCTGGCATATTATTGGTTGTTTTGTTTTTTTTAAATATTTTTAGTGCATGTGCATTGGTGTTTTACCTGCATGTATATCTGTGTGAGGATGTCGGATCCTCTGGAATTGGAGTTACAGACAGTTGTTAGTTGCCATGTGGGTGCTAGGAACTGAAGCTAGGGTTCTCTAGAAGCCAATGCCCCTAACTGCTGATCTAGCTCTTCAGCTCCCTATATTATTGGTTTTAGTTATGTGTAATATGTATGTGTATGAGGATGCGGTTGTCCTCGGAGGTGGGAAGAGTGTTGGATCCTCTGGAGTGGGAGTTACAGGTGATTGTAAGCTTCTTGATGTAGGTGCTGGGAATCAAACGTGGGTTCTCTGCGAGAGCAGTGGTTTTAACTGCTGAACCATCCCTCCACCTACCTTTCCCTTTTTAAATAATCCATCTATTTCTAGTCCATGCCTAACTTAGCAGACGTTAAGTTTTCCTCCATCTCCCCGATGGCTGCTAGGATTTTAACTTAACCTGCACTGTGTTTTTCTTTCAGGCTCCAATCAAATTGTTCTGGGGCTTTCTTTTTAATCTATTCTAAATTCTTTTATTAATAAGACTCTGATCCCCACACTCATGCTGAGGCACTCACAATCCCCCTCACATCTCACATACACATACACACACACACACACACACACACACACACACACTAAAGAAAATTTAGACTAAAAGGCCCTCTGCTGTTCTCTTGCTGGCTGGCTTGCTTTAAGAGCAGCCTGGCTTTTAAATCATTCTAATTCTAGGGAAAGACAGCAGTGCCCAACCCCCTTCAGTGACAGTGGCGGAACTCAGCTCCTCTCCCTTCCTCTGGAGAAAGCCCAACAACAGTAAAAATATGCTGACTTCCTCCAAAGCATCTGGGAGGTCTGCATCTCAGGGCAAACTCAGTCCAACTTCAGTCACCTGAGGCAAAGACTTGCTCCCCAGGGCGGTACTATTAAGGTCGACAGAGGCTTCAACAGTGATTCTCAGCCTTCCTGACACTGCGAACACAGATCCTCATGTTGTGCTGACCCCCAACCACAAAATTATTTCATCACTACTTCATAACTGTAACTTGGCTACTGTTGTGAATTGTAATGTAAATATCTGATAGGTGACCCCAGGTGGCTCTCAATCCATAGGCTGAGAACCTCTGCTTTAGGAGGTGGGATTCATGAGGCGTCTTCAGGTGGGTTGCGGGAGTTGTGTCCTTGCAGGAGATATAGAGCCTAGCTCCCTCTTGCTCTTCCTGTTTCCTGGTCACCATGATGTGTGCCACAGGCCCTACACCTCCAAAACTGTGAGCCAACAACATCAAATGAAAAAACCCCAAATCCTTTGGTTCCATATAGTTGAATAGCCTAGGTGTTTGTCATAGTGATGGGAAAATAATATGGCTGCTTCCTTGAAGTTAGGAAATGCAGAGTTCAAGGCTGGTACCAAGTACAAGGTCTAGAGTGGACCACCAAAGTCAGTCTCTCTGTGGTTATCAAAAATCTCACCCTAAAACATACTCTCACAGGACTGTGCAAGAGTCAGAGCTACCCTCTCTGACATCCCTACACTCGGAAGACCACGGCAGGAGGCACTTCAGGTCCAAGCCAAGCTGCCTTATGTAGCCAATCTCTGTCAAGGGGAGGGGAGGGAAGGGGAGGGGAGAAGAGGCCTGGTAGAGGTCTATGTACCAACAATGAGGATGGTCACTTGTGAAAACACACATTCTTGTTTCTCACACTAAATGCTCCAAGTGGCACCAAGGGATCTATTCTTTTTTTGTTTGTTTGTTTTTTGAGAAAGGGTTTCTCTGTAAAGCCCTGGCTGTCCTGAAAATCAGTCTGTAGACCAGACTGGCCTCAAACTCAGAGACCCCCTGCCTCTGCCTCTCGACTGCTGGGATTAAAGGCGTGCGCCACCACAGCCTGGCTAAGGTCTATTCTTACAGAAGAAAAGAGAACACAATAAGGGTTTGCCCTGGTTGTTTGTTTATTGCTTTGATCAACAAGAACAGATTAGTCATAGCTCACTTACACGTTCCAAGTAGTTCTAGTGATAAGTGAGAACGAGATATTCTCCTAATTATTCATATTCTGATGGTGTCAGCATGTTTACAAGGAACTGGGCTGAAATGGCTCAAGGTTCAGATTAATTATATAATCAGACTTTAGAATCCAGGAGGCTGTGTCCACTATCCCAAGGCCTGCTGGGAAATGCAGATAGTTTTCTTCATATTTCCATAAAGGGTGTGGCCCTCTGGCTGGATGACAGACAGCATTGGAAGGGACTTGCATCCACTGAGTCACTTAATTCTTATAGTCACCCATTGACATGGAACTTGGATTATACACTTATTCTGTAGATGAGGAAAATGGAGCAGAAGTGAATCGAAATGATGTGTCTGAAGAGACAGAGGTGGGGATGGCTAGAGCTGAGGACTGGACCTGGCACCCTGATTCCAGAGCCCACTCTGGACATCTCCAGCATTTGTCATAAAAATGCTAGGTGACATGTGGTGGGGAGATGTGTGTGACCACAGACAGTAAGCAGTGTGTGTGTGTGTGTGTGTGTGTGTGTGTGTGTGTGTGTATGAATGTTTGCGTATGCTTGTGTGTATGCTTGCATATGTCTCAGTGTGTGCTCATGTATGTGTGTGTGTGCTTGTGTGTGTGTGTGCCTCTGTGTAAGGAAGGGAGTGTGGATGAGCATGTGAAGGACAGAGGTGAATGTTGGACATCTTCAATCATGCTCTACCTTAGTTTTTGAGACAATCTCTCCTGGGACCTGAAGCTCATGAACTGGGCCAGATGAGCTGGCAAACAAGGATTTGCCAGGGATCCTCCTGTCTCTGCCTCCCCAGTGCTGGGACTGTAGGCACAATTTGATGTGGGTTCTGGGAATTGAACTTAGGTCTTCATGATTATACAGAAGGCACTTCATCAACTAAGTCATCTCCCTAAGCCCCAGAGAGTAAGCTTTTAAGCCACATGGCCACCCCCAAGATGGCACTCCTGGTGGTCATCAGCAGTTCTGGTTTTCCATGGCACCACGTTGCTTTTAGCATTGAAAGCCCTGCACCTCAGGAAACTCCCTAGTCTGGGAAGGCTGCCCACCTAGTTCTTCACCTCTTCCCATAAGAATCACAGAAGGCCACTGGGGGTTTCTGGGGTCTGAAGACACATGCTATCTGTACCACAGTCCACAAGTTTTAATTTTTCGAGACAGACTCTTGCTATGCAACTCAGGATTCCCTCAAACTCATGATACCCCTGCCTTAGTCTCCCATGTGCTGTGAGTGTATACCATTACCCCTGGCTCTTAAGAACAGGCAATGCTCTTGCAGGCTCCCCAGGGGGACTGACACCAGACTTCATCCATACTCCAGTGGGAACACACCTCTGGAAGGAGATCAACTCTAGCATTCCAGCATTCCAATTTAGAAATAACATTCTCAGCCCCACCTTTGAGTCTAATTCACCAAAGATCAAACTGACATCTAAGGAGTGAACTAGGCCAGGAACTCATATCCAGCAGCTTAGGGCCTGCCCAATCCCGTTCAGGTTCAAGGAAGAATAGTTAGGTCCTGCCCTTTAGCAGGGGTACAGGCCAGAGCTGAGATGCAGCTCTGCTCAGGTGCAGAGACAAAGTTTTGAGGCACTAAGGGCTTCCAGAGCTAAATAAGGAAGGGGCAGCCAGGCTGGGAACACCATAGAATGTCCTCGAGCCTTGAGGTTTCCCCAGGCAAGAGCATAAGCCATATACTGGCTAGCTATGGCCGACTGCCATCACTTACCTAATGTCACCATTTTCTGTGATTCTGAGAGAATGACAAGGACACACACACAACACACACATCCACTGACTGGGACAATGACACCCTGTGAGGTGATAAGAGCAGACAGGAAGAATCAACTAAACTGTGGATGCTATAGAACCAATGATGGATGGATGTGGACAAGGAACCCAGGGCCTGAGACCAAGATGCTCCAGGGAGCCACTGAGACAGACTTGCTGAGCTCCCCAAAGGCTCAGGAGTTGGAGGAACCAGGCTCCCCTGAACACCCAGAGGTGGAGGGCAGACTGCCATTTGAAGGGATGACTGACTAGTTCTCTGAGGAACAACTGGTCAACCAGGGCTCTTTTCACGGTAGGCACAGACAAAATGAGACTTTCCCCACCATGATAGGAGACCCCATCACGTGCTCATAAGGGCTCAGGAGTATGCCTCTCCCCATTTCCTTGGTGAGTCGTTCACACCAATGCCCCCTTCCTGGCTTGTCCTCTTATTTTTTTCTTCTTAGTTACCAAGAGACTCAAAGACACAGAATGAGAGAAGTCACTTGGACACCAGTGTCGGGCTTCCTGCTGCCACACTCTCTTCCTGCCCTCCTCAATGCGCCAGGCCGTTTGATGGAACAGAAGGGGTTTGTTCCCTCCCGCTGTGTAGCATCCTCTTGGTCAGTTTTCTAGATTGCTGGGGATGGGACCCAGGGCCATGTGTGTGCTAAGCAAGCTCTCTACCACCGAGCTGGGTCCCCATTTTCCTCTCCTTTATTAACAGGGCCTTCCATTTTACCCGAGAGACTTGTTTTCCAACTAAAATACAAAACAATTTCCAGGTTCCTTTGCAGTTCAGTGTGGTCATATGACGTCATAAGTGAAAACTGTAAAGAGATTTGAAGAACTGAATCTTTAAGAGGAAGGCATTACTGGCTCCTTTCTTCTTCCGCTCTGATCATGGAAGTGCTGATGAGATGGGTCAGGGCCTCAGCAGCTGCAGTCGACACTGAGCATGAGGGCTTCACACTGGGGTAACAGAACAGAAATAGGCTGAGCTGTTCTCATAGAGTCATGACCTTCATGGCCTGCCTCTGGATTTCATACGGCAGAGAAAGAGAAAAGTGTCCTGTTGTAACCACTGTCATTTGGGGATTTTCTGCTGTGAAAAGCAGCTAATCCTATTTTGTAACCTGAGGTGAGGTCCATCTTCTCCCAGGCTCTCTTCCCACTCAGATCCTGGGAGATTAGCCAGCAGGGACTGGGCTGTATGGAGTTCACACATCCAGGGGCAGATGTGAAGCACAGATGTTTTCTTTAGCTCCTACAAAGTTTTAAAAATCAGAAAATACTCGAATGTGTTTTCTTTTATTATTCTTGGTGAGTTTTGTTGTTGTATTTTTGTTAGTTTATTTGAATCAGTGTCTCATGTACCTAGGCTGGCCTCAGGCTTACTATGGAACCAATGATGACCCTGAATTCCTGACCCTCCTGCCTCCATTGTCTGGGTGCTACGGTTATAGGCATATGCCACCATACCTGGCTTATCCAGTGATGGAGACTGAACCCAGGACCTTGTGATTCTACATGAGAACTGTACTAACTAAACTACATCCCTAACCCTTGAATATATCTTAAACTTTGAAGTCCAGGATTCTGGATCCTCTTTGATGGCTGGAGGATCTGGCTGCCGGGCCAGTATTTCAGCACAGCAGTATTTTGTTTGTTTGTTTGTTTGTTTGTTTGTTTGTTTGTTTATTCATGACAGGGTCTCATGAAGCTCAGGCTATCCTCTAATTCACTATATAGCTGAGGATGACCTTGAACTTCTGGTGCTCCTGCCTCAACCTTTGGAATACCGGGATTATAAGCATGTATCATCACAATGAGCATTTAGATGTGGCACCTGCTACCTCCTTGTGATACTTCCTTATCAAATAAGGATACTCTCCTTGGTCCAAGAATGAGATTTGCCTATGGCTGGCTCAGGCTATGAGCCAAATACGTCCACACACTGTCCCTGAACTAGGAATGACCCTGGCTTATTCCATGAGTTAGTGAATCTGTGTCATCTCCACTACACAGAGGAGGAAACAGGGGCTTGGGGCTTGTCTGAGGTTGCAAGCCATAGGCCGTCATCATGAGTTTTGAACATCTGTACTCTGTAACTGCTCTGTCAGCATTGACTCTGTAACCTTGAGACTCCTGGACGTGTGCTCAGCCTCACAGGGGAAGAAGATAAACTTAACGAGCATTGATGTGTCACATTAGGAGGGGACAGATTATCTGAAGAAATACAAATAAGCAGAATGAGAAATTCCCTATTCCCAAAGTCTGGCACAGAGTCAGCCTGCGGAGCTATGTTGAGCAAGTGAGGAGGCCACACCCCTCAGTCACCTGGCATCAGAACAGAGCCAGGATGCAAACCCTGGGTTCCTGCCTCTTGCCCAGCCCCACCCCTTTCCCTCAAGCACACTGCCTAGCATGTTCACACTCAACCATGGTGCATCTCTCACCAGCAGCCAACACGGAGCTTTGGCTCCTCCCCAAATGAGGGTCTGATTGTGGTCCTTGGCCCTCGGGACTGCAGGGCCACTAGGAGGACTAGATGATACCACACATGAGATGGTACATAACAAGTGTAGTGGGTAGCCGTTCCAGCTTTGATCTGGAAGTTCCAACCCCCACTGAGGCTTTGGTAACTGTCACGCCTACTAGGTGGAACTGAGAGAGGACCCCTGAAGACCTGAGATCTGGATGGGCTAGCTCTCTTGGTTCCTGGACCCTGGACGCTGGAGGTAGACAGAGCAGAGTTCTCCAGAGAACACCGCCAGACTGTGCTACACCTTTCCCAGACCCTGTAACCTATCCCTTCACTTGTAAGTTACCCCACAAAATAAACCTCCATTTTAACTACGTGGAGTTGCCTTAATATTTTAACCAATAAACAAGTGCTCAGTAAACAGTGGGTGTCATTGGGATGCACCGTGTTGAAGTTGGGAGATGCAGGGGACTGACACTGGTACCCGGAAATCCTCATCTGCAGCCATCAACCTGACTCTGCACCAAGGCCCTGCTCAGAGGCAGCTCCCCTCTGTCCCAGGCGCATCACAATGACCAGAGCTTCCCCTGACACTCCATCACACACCCCACAACATGCAAGCTTACTCTTCTCAGATCCTGGCCTCGGCCTGGAGATCTGGAGAGAAAATGAACCCAGCCACTGGCCAGTCAAAGTCATAGGACTTTCTTCTTTAATTCGTGTGCATTAATCATAGAGATAATGGGAATATGTAGTGTGCTCTAGTCATAATCACCCTGTTACCCTCCTCATTTCTCCATCTCCTGACCTTCTTCTCACTAGTAGCTTCCTTCCTGATAATTCTTCCTCCATATTCTGCACTTGAGAGAAAATGTGACTTCTTTTTCCTTTTAAATTGATTTATTTAATTTAACATGGTGATCTCTGGTCTTATCTATTTTCCTTCTAATGATATGATTTCATTCTTCTCATGGAACATTTTCTTTTCTTTTCATTTCTCTTCTTTCTTTTTCTTTTTCCTTTTCTTTCTTTCTTTCTTTTTTTTTTTTTTTAAAGAAAAAGCCTCATGTAGCCCAGGCTGGCCTCAAACTCACTAGATAGCTAAGGATGACCTAATTCTTCTGCTTCCACTTCCCAAGTGCTGGAATTACAGGCATGTACCACCACATTCCTTCTTCACACGATCCACCTGTATTCTACTACAATGAATTCAATGTGCTCCTTCTGAGCCTGGCTACCTCAAACTTCCTCTTCTAAGTGGCTGGAGTAAACATGACCTGGATACCCCAGTGCTGCAGATTTAGTAGGACTGGAGGGGACCACCCACCCAGAAGTATTGAAGAAGTGAGCTAACTCAGGGATCAGGTATCAGTATTTGTTACATCCTCTCTGCTACAGTAATTACTGTTGAAAATTTGTAGGTTTCTTTCTTTTCTTTTTTTTCTTTTCTTTCTTTCTTTTTTTTTTTTTTTTTTTTTTTAATGTTTTAGTGTTTGAGACAGGATCTCTACACAGCTCTGACTGTCCTGGAACTCACTATATAGACTAGACTGGCCTTGAACTGAAGAGAGATTTGCTTGCCTCTGCTGAGTGCTGGGATTAAAAGCCAGGCCCGGCAGATTGTAGTTGTTTCTAAAGTGAAGCACCCCCTCTGCACCCCACCCCCACACAAACTTTGTTACATGAGCTGTTCTCTATGGCATCATCGATGTTATTACCAAAGCCTCTCTTGGCAAAGCTGCAGAGATTATTCCTAAGCAGTCCCCATAATGCAACTTATTAGCTTGAATTGGATTTACATATATTGAGACACAGTTTCACTCTGTAGCCCAAGTTGGTCTTAATCTTGTGACAATCCTGCTTCCACCTCCCAAGCACTAGGAACACTGACATGAGCACTCCACTCTGGTTGACTTGAGCTTGGTTTTGCAGGAAGGCTAGGAGAGCCAGAGCTCCTGTGTGCTTGAGAACCTGTCTCAGTACAAGCAGTGTGCTGTGTGCAGAATGCACTTAGGGGACGGCCTCTCTCTCCAGGCCTCCTCCAGCTCCTGCCCGATGTGTGTTGTATGGGGAAGCTCAAGGCAGGGACCAGATGACACCCTCAAAGAGGGTAATGGAGGAAAGTTTAACAGACGGACCCACTACAAAGGTGTGGGCTATGCCCATGTGCTGCCCAGGTAACCTGGACATCCCTCTACATGGTGAAAACTACTTCCCAACGACACCTGGATGTCCCCATGTCTGTCTCTCTGCTGCAGGTCCCGAAGCCACTGAAGCACACTTAGCCGGTTATGTTGAATTGTGGGTACCAAAAAATTAATGGAAGAGGTTCAAATAATACCAGAGGAGATGGTGCGGGGTGGGGTGGGGGTGGGGGGAACAGCGCTTGCCTGCCACTCAAGAAGTCTGGGGTTTGGTCCTCAGGACTGTGAAATACACACACAAGCACACCTGATAATGGAGGAGAGTGTGTGGTTAAGCCCCTCCTTCCCTGGGCCCCCAGTTGGATTAACTGCACACCCTACCATCTGCCAGAGGTTGAGTCCAGAGCTCAGGCTGGTCACCTCCCTGCTACGAGTTCTCTCACTGCCCTGTCTTTTTTCTGCATTCCCCTTACGGTGCTTCCTTAGATCTCTTCAAATAAACCCCAAACTTTGTCTCCGGAGCTGCGTCTAGGAAAACCCTAACCCCAGGAGCATAGCTCAGGGAGAGCAGCCACACATGGTACAGTTCTTGGGGTCGTCCTCTTAGAGACAGGGGCAAGAGGGGAGCTGCGGGGGTGGGGGTGGGGGTGGAGGGAGTGGAAGCCTGCCAGAAGTTATGGCCTTGCCAGAAAGACAGTTCTCTTTGATGACTCGGGAAGCAGAGGGAAGAGGCATCCTGGCTTCTCCATTCTGTCACCTTCTGCCTCTCTGCCTATGCCACGGGCAAGAGTCCAGGGTGGTGTGTACACCACGAGGCTGCTTTGGCAGAGGGGCGGTTTGTGTACCCAGCGGTGAGGACGATCAAAGGCTTGTAACCAAAACTCAGCTATTTCCTGGAAGTTTGGTCCTGCCTAGGGAGCGGCATTTCAACAGTCTGGGATCTAGACACTTTGCTAGGTCTGGTCAGGATGGAGCACAGTGAGGTACAGAAGCTGGAGGGCTGGGGCAGGTAGAAGTACCTGCCCCCAAACATGGTAGCCAATGAGAAACACCTGCTAGAGCTCTGAGAGTAAGGAACATGGCTGGGCTCCACGGGGCACTGGCTGGGGTCAGCCAGTCGGCTGAAGGGGTGGCCTTACTGTACCTCAGATGGTGGGATTAGGGGTGGCTGACTCAACAGCCAACTGGACTAGCTGAACATGAACTTTTCACCAGTGACAGTTTCTTCTGGTGGCTCAAGTTCCCAGAGAGAAAAACCCAGAGGCCCCAGTGGAAGTCAAAAGAGCCCTGAACCCCTCCAGATAAGAAAGACCTTTGCCTCCTTGGCCATGTCCTTTCTACCAGCAAGTCCTTCAGGCCCTCCCAGGGCAAGAAGCCAGGACCTAGACTCCATAGGACAAAGACAGGATCAGCAAAGAGCTGTGTCACCTCTGGTGGAAAGCAAGTCATTCGCATGGCCCAGCTTTCTCTAATATGCTGGATTGACTTTGGAGAAGGACTTGATTGTCACACCCCAGGCCCAGATACAGAGTCAGAATCAACCTTAAGTACCAGCTCTCCCTGCAATGCACTAATCTTCCTGGAGCCCGGTGGGCAGGGTCTTCCTGCAGCCTCGGTGACTTCATCTGTAGACTGATAATGGTTCCTGCTTCACAGGGTGTGGGATAAATTGGACCCGACGGTGTTTATAAAGCGCTTCCACGACACTGGCCACCCAGGGTGTGCCCGCATATGGTGGTGGTGTCATGTATCCAAAGTAACAAAAAAAATCTTCTACAAAGCTACAATGTGTTAGGAATTTTTCCTTTTTGAGACAGAGTTTCAATAATCTCAATAATAGCCCAACATCCTCCTGCCTCAGCTCCCTGTAACTAAGGTCACAGGCATGAATTATCATCCCTGTCTTAGAAAGACGGTTTTGATCCAATCCACCCTCTCCCTCACTTCCACGTGCAACCCAATCCCAGATTCGGATTCTGCAGCTTACATGCAGAATCTATCATCTGTCCCACTGTCCCTCACCTGGATCCTTCCCCGGAGCCCCTCTCACGCTGTCCCCTCATGTCAGGGTGCCCGGTGTCTCCACCTCAAGGTGCACACAAGTTGCTTAAGGATCTTGCTAGAATACAGCGCCCCCTTGGCCTCAGCCAAGAGTATGTTTCTAACCAGCTCACCTGGAATGTCAACCTGGCTAAGTTTCTAAACGCCCCTGGAGGATTTTTTCCAAATAAAGGCGGATGCTGTCCTGGAACCGTTGACAAACCTTCACTTACTTCGCAGCAGGCTCTTGGGAAGGGCCAAGCCTCACTGGGGCACGTAATATGCTTTAGCTTCCACCTCGCCTGCTGGCCTCAGCCCCCCACTCTCCTACCTCCACTTTCCCCTCTGATTTATAGGTCGGTTTATTTACAGACGAAAAGTGGACATTGTATCTCGCCCAGTTCTGACGTTTCCATGTGCCCCAGTCCTCCCACAGATTTATGTTGTCCCACCACAGACACAGTGCCTAGACTTAAGTGTATGTTTCCCTTGCTTTACAATCCTCCTCACTGGTGCATAGAGCTAAACATGCATATTTTGGGTGTTGTTTTTGTATGTTCTAAAGGTTGGCCAGAGTCTATGGAGTTTTCTTCTACTTTTCTTTCTGTCTCCATTCAGTATTGTGCCTGAGTACACCTGCTGTGCTTTGCAGCTGAAACTCACATAATACTTTGTGGAGCAGACAGTGCAGGGCATTTCCTCACAGAGTTGAGGTGAGCATCCTGACGTTTCTCCAGCCTGACTGCCCGGGGGAAAAGATGAACTCTGTGTCTCCAGCCACCCTGGTGTCCTTTCAGTTTTAGTTTCCAGGAGTCTCTCACCCACATAACAAATGTCCTCTGCATCCCACATGCCCTCACCTGGTGAGCTCCAGCCGTCGTTGACTCCGCTAAATCTCCCTAATTACACACTTTCGTCTTGGGATTCTGCAACAAGTGGACTTATCCCGCAGAATCCAGCCCCATGAATCTCCGGAGCTCCGTGCCTCCAGCTCCGGCCTGCACACAGTAGGCACCCAGGCAACAGTGAAAAGCCTCGGTGCAGAAGGGGCCGGAAAGAGGCCAGGGTTTGGCGGGGGACACTGGGGTCACGCCTTCTGGGGGCTCACCTGGCTGTTTTCCAGAGTGTAGCCGCCGGAAAGGTCGCTGGGTCCAGCACTCCGGGAAATGGGCGCCAGGGCTGCAGGCCGGCCAAGGGCGGGCCCCGAGCCCTGGCAGGCGGCGTCTCCGGTGTGGGCGGGGAGTGGGCGGGGAGTGGGCAGGACCGACCAGGGCAGCCCGGTAAAAAAGAGCGCGGCGCTCTGCCTTCTCTGAGAGCCCTCGGGACGCGACCCCGCCACCGAGCCAGCGCCGACCCAACGAGCTTCAGCAGAGGGATCAGCGTCGGGGTGCACACTCGGTACCATGGCCCAGACGCCCGCTTTCAACAAGCCCAAAGTGAGCGCGGAGGGGCTCTGTCGCCCGGCTTCTGCCCCCGGGCTTGCCCCAGGGTTTAGCCGGGCCCAACCGTGGGAGTCTTCATCCTAGATGCATAGGAGGACCCCTGCTGGCTTCTCCCCTCGGCCCAGGCCTGGACTTGCTTCCAGGATGTCGAGTGAGGGACGATGTGGCAGGGAGAGTCCAGAACCTGGAGGTGCCTCTAGCTGGCCTTCAGGTTCGGCTGCTGCCCACGCCGAGTCCACTTTGGGTCTCAGCCTCGCTGTCTGCCAAATGAGCGCCCAGTGGGTGGGGCTGTGTAGCTGTGTGAGCCTGGGCGGGGTCCTGATGTCTGAATATCACTAGAATGGGGCCCAGGGTCTCTCGCTGTTAAATGTTCGGCGAATGGCTTTATACTTCAGTGTTATGATTGCTTTGTTGGCACCAGGTAACTTAGGTTTGTGGATGCACTCGTGGGAAAAATCTGTGATCCAAGCCAGAAAGGGGAGCGAGACAGCAGGGCGCTGGGGAGGAATTCTTATGCACCCTGGGCCTTTGGCCACAGTGGGTTTGTCTGGGGTCAGGTCATGGCCCTTGACCCCAATGGAAAACCCCTTGTCTCTGCCCACAAGCTGTGGCTTCTTGGAAACAATGAGAGTTGGAGAGAGTCCAGGTCCTTAAGGCCAGGTTTGCAACCTTTATAGATTCTGTCCAGCGAGGCACTAGACCCAGCAGTGGGCCAGGCAGATTGAATGGGTCAACAGAGTGTAGGATTGAGGAATCGGGGAGGAATCGGAGACAGTCAGCCTCGGACTGTCCAAGAAACAGATGTTAAGTGGTGACGGCGGACATCGCAAAGGCGTTGGTAAGAATCCAGCGTGTATGTGGTGCAACATACGTGTGTCTGGAGGAAGGGCAGGGAGGAAGGGCAGGTGGGCCTGCTTTTACCATAGAGAACTCACTCTGCCCCGCCTGTCAGAAGCTAGAGGCCAGAAGGGCAGGGCAAGTCTTCTTGCCCAACTGACGCCCCCTGCACATCTTGTCTGGTGCCCCTCACCGCAGTTAATGCCCCTTGCCGCCGAAAGCCTTTCTTTCTTTTCCTCTTGATGGTCTGAATTCTCTCCACCCTTGGTCAGGGGAACCACCTCTCCTGATGGGAGGGATGGAAGCTAAAGATGAATGACGGGCCACACTTCGGTAGCACCTACCCTTTTGTGACAGCTCTGTGGGGAGTACCAATACATTGCGATCCCTGGTATTGTCACCTGGTTCATGGTGGCAGGTCATTTCCTCCTCGGCCTCAGACTCCACGCCTGGAGAAAAGGATTTCATTACTAGGTCTCCTAGCAGCAGTGTCTATGTTACAAGGCAATGCTGGAGCAGGAAGGTAGCGTGTTGGTGGCTACGTCTGAGGTGTGACACGTCTCATGTCATGGTGGGGGAGGAATGCCGCTGTAGCTGGCAGAAATGGGAAGGAGCCGCTGTGATCAGAGTCTGGCCAGCCTGCGTAGCTGAGTGTCACCAGCTGAAGCTTACTGAGGGCCCAGCCTACCCAGCATAACGGCACACAAGCCAGTCCATCCTGGCAATGACCTTACGAGGTAGCCAGTGCCATCTCCATGTACAGATGGGGAAACATGTGCCCAGAGCTTAGCTAGGATGTAGCCAAGCTGGGAGAAGAGCCCACATTGAGGGCTGGCTTCAAAAATCCCATCTCCTAAGCCAGGCACCATGGTGTGTACACCTGTAATTCTTGGTATTTGGAAGGCTGAGACAGGAGAATTTTTTTTAATTCCAGGGATGTTTGGCATAAGAAAACAACACCTAAAAGCCAGACATTCCGTGCCCCTGTCTCTCCTGGGTGAGCTCTGCAAAAGCCTTGGGGATGAGAGGGCATCTCACCTGAGCCAGAGGCCTTTGCTAGGTTCTTTGGTTTCCCAAGACCTGGGACTTGGACAACTTCAAGGGGAGCCAAGCCCACGACACCTTCCAGGGCTTTTTGTTTTGTTTTGTATATATGTATGTGTGTGTGTGTGTGTGTGTGTGTGTGCCCCTACGGGTGGAGATCAGGGACCAACCTTGGGTGTCGGTTTTCACCCTCCAGCACCTTTGAGATAGGATCTCTTTGTTGTTCACCTCTGGAACACCAGGTTAGCTGCCCCGTGAGTTTCCAGGGATTCTCTTGTCTCTGCCTCACATTTCACAAGAGGAGTCATGGGTATTGCAGATGTGAGTTACCAGTCCTGGCTTTCATGTGGGCTCTGTGGGTTTGAACTCAGATCCACACCCTTGTGTTGAAAGCTCTTTACTCACTGAGCCAGCTCCTCAGCCCTGCCTTCAAGACGTAGTAGTAACCTGGTTTAACTTTAACTGCAGGCTGTGACTGAGGAGGTTTGGGTGGGGCTGAGATCCTATTGTCTTGCCCCCAAGCCATATAACACCACTGGTCCAGCAAGTGGCCTGGAGGAGCACCTGCTACCTGCTTTGATTGAGTGCTTGCTTCCTAAGAATTGCTGGGCATGAAGAGGTGTGTGTGTGCGCCTGCGTGCGTGCGTGTGTGCGTGCGTGCGTGTGTGTGTGTGTGTGTGTGTGTGTGTGTGTGTGTGCCAGTGCCAGTGACCCTTATCACTCTGTGCCCACTTGAAGCAGGGTTACAAAATCCCATGCTCCAGCTGCCGCTTTGTTAAAGGTCCATCCTGACCTTGGTCCTCTGGCTGTGATTCGAGCTGAGGATCTTTGGAGTAGAGTAGCTGTGAGTACCGGAACCTTTAGCAGCTTCATTCACAGAATCCTGAATGACCAAGCAGGTGGCTGGCAGCATCCCATCTGCAAGTGGAGTTGTCCGAGGACTAGAGAGGAGAAGGAGCTTGCTCAAAGCTGCTCCATCTGCGCATCTCACATCTTAGACTTGGAGGGAAGTGGCCCGGGTTGGGAAGGCTCCGTTTCTAAGCCAGCCTTTCCTCCTGTGGAAGTTCATAGGTAGCATGATCCCAGAGCACCTTTGCCCTCTTGCCCAGTGTGGTTCTAGCTGCTTTGTATGGATTATGTCATGTTTCATTCACAACAGCCTTCCGGGATAGGTCTTGCTGTCTTCATTTACATAGGAGGAAACTGACTCAGAGACGCAAAGGAGCTTGCAAAAGTAGCTCGGCCAGAGAGCGGCAGAGCTGGGCTGCAAGCCGGAGCAGCCTAAGGCTGAAGTAGGTGCTAGTGACTGCTTTGCTAATTAGTCATTTTCCTTTTGTGGGACAAGAGAAGCGGCTTGTGGGGATGTTACAGAGCAAGGACCTAGCATCAGAGCCTCGGCCTTGGCCTTCAGACAGACCAGGGTGGAACCCCTGCTTCTCAGCTTGGCGGCATTGTCCTCAGGGAAGCAGGCCCTGAGACTCGGCCTCCTTTGCCTCGGGGAAAAAACCCACACCGCCATGGCTTCTGCTATAGTGCCCGGCTCTAAAGTGTGTGCTTCCTTCCGGGGTTGCAATGGGCGCTTCCTGGACTCTGGGCCGCCCTCATTGCTTATCTTGAGCAGGTGCACTTCTCTGGGTTCTTGGTGTCTTTCGGTTACCAGAGCCACCTGTTAAAATGAAACTACCCCTGGGAAGAGAGCGTCGCGCCCGTTTAGATTTGTGTGACAGTTGTTGGGGAGGGGACAGATGGAGATTTGGTTTCATGGAAGCCTTTGTTTGACAGCAGAATGAGGGACCAGAAAGAGGAAGGGGTCTGTGGTCACGGAGGGAGGCAGGGACGCCAGCCTGATTCCTGATTCCATATCCTGGAAGGCTGCCCTGCAACTGGGAGAGGACTGTTCACCTGCCCAGGTGTCTTGAGAGAATACTATGGTGGTACCCCTTGGGGTTGGGGAAGGCAGCACTGTGTGGGATAGCCTTAGACAAGGGGACCCCCAAATGAGGTTGAATGCTATATGTATCATAGGGTTAGGGGTATGGGTGAGCCGTGCCTCAGAGTAGCTGCAGGGTTAGATAGCGCTCTGGGGGCTAAGGCCAGGCCTGTGCTGAGTTCTGCTTTCCCACTTAATTACTAGAGTTAAGTTCACTGTGCTTAGTTTTCCTGTTAAATGGGAATTATACCTGTACCCATCTCAGGGACACCAAGTGTGGCCTGCTTCGTGTGGGCATGCCACTGAGAGCTCCCGTCTATAGGGACCAGTATCACCATTGTTGCTGATCATCCTGGTCACATTTTCCCTCTCCTCTGCCTAGCACCTTGCCTTGCATGCAAGGAACATAAAAGCTTCTGGCTTTACGCTCAGGCAACTTCCTAGCTATGGTGTTGATTTGTTTGTAATACTGTTGTGGCCTAAGGCAAGCTCCTCTCTGAGCCTCAGTCTTACCACCTATAAAGTGGGGGCAAATGGGCCGCATTCCTAGATGGCTGAGTCATAAGATTTCCCTCAGTTAGAGATGCTTCTGCTGCTGGGGAAATTCTGGGGTGGCTTGTGAATAGCACTGGAAAGCTCCACCAAGCCCCAAGGCTGCAGGAAACACAGAAGGGCTGCTTGGCTCCTTCCGGTCTGTACCTTGGAGCTATAGGACCGCAGAAAGGGCTGGGCTGAGCTTGGAGGGCTTCCTGAAGGAAGCAGGGCTGAGACAGTTTATTGCCCCAAGCCTACCTTGTTGATTGATTTCATCCTAAAAGTCAGCAGAGAGGTGGTAGGGCATGAGCTGCTGACCCTTGACCCCTGCTCCACCCAAGCCATGGCCTGGATGAGGTAGGAGGAAGGGGCTAGGGCTGGCAGTGGGCACCTGTGGCTCCTCTGGGACTGGCCATGGTGCTCAAGGCCAGGGCCTGGCTACTCTGCCTGCCTGGATTCTCTACCAGATCTGCCATTGCTGCCATTAAGACTGGGGAGGGGGTGGAATCAATGACATTCAACCTTTGCTGTACAGGTGCTATACTAGGTACCTAAGACCCAGGAGAGTGACACAGACAGGTCCCAGCTCCCGAAGCAGCGAAAGTGGAGTGAAAACAGAGCAGGGGCAGCTGTGGTGACACACACCTTT